CGCTTCGAGTACGGGTTCGAGTCATCCAAGGAAAATGGGACTTTATATTGCAATGTCAATAATTTAAAATGTGAAACCGCTGGGTCCCCGAAAGGGTTCTTCAATCTCGTAATCACGACCTATTATTATTATTATTATTATTATTATTATTATTATTATTATTATTATTATTATTATTATTATTCATGAATCCACCAAAATCTTTGCGTTCTCAAGTATAAAAACCTAGCACAAACTGTAACTTATTTATGATAAGCCAAACTTGAAGGAGGGAAAAATATATCTCAAAGATAATAAATCTGAAATTTAGTAAATCCAAGAGATCATAATCTCTTGGTAAATCTGGTGAATATCTATCAGATAGAAAAGAAAATTGGAATGATCGACAGTAATTATAAGCATAGCCTTGAAAAATTCTGAAACATTCAGAAGGACCCACTAACCCTACGTACAAAGTATCCGTTTGACAGTTTGTTGCAGGTGCAGGTAGCCGCGATCCTCGTGGTGGCTTGCCGTAGTCTTGCTTGTCGCTCTCCTGTTAACAGGGCTCTATTTAGCTTAGGTAATGTCACTGATGCAGAGACTATTAAAAATGACTCCTTGGTAATTAGTGCCACTTTGACTGACTAGAGTAGGAAAGACGCACCCTTTTTTTTTATGATACGGGTCATCCGGGATCACAAGGACTCTTTGTGGTCGTTGTCCAATCACGCGAGAGTACTTCAGGAAAAGGGGGTTCCCCCGTGATTCCCTATACGTGCCCAAAATAACCTAAAAAAGATTATGAATTCCGGGCCAGTTTGTTGGTGGTTGTAGATATATTACCATACAAACGATACAAAAGCTCTCAGATAGTGGGGAAGACGTGAAAGTAAAAGTAACGCGAAAAGTTGGCGTTTTCTTTTCGTGTTCGCGCTTTCTTAATTCAGCACGCCCGACTATCTCGGAGCTTGGAACAGGCTAATGTACACAGTGAGAAAATACTCTGAAAGGATAATGAATTTTGAATTTTGTCCTTGAATGATTTTTATCTTCTTAATTTTGACCGCTTTCATTGAAATGGTATTGTGATAAAGCAGACTGCTTGCAGTCCGCATTTTCTCTTAAAACCCGTCTACTTCTTATCTCAGCCAGCGCGATTGCAAACCACGAAGTTATGTTACAATAACGGCTTCACTGCACCGTGCTTGATTTTCGCGTGCAGTAACTTCGCAAAGAAAAATAAGAGACTGCTTGCAGTCTAAATAAAAGGGGTCCCTAATCCTATACAGAAAGCTATCTACCCCATAAAACATAAAGAAGCAGTATTATGTTTGTTATAAAGTGAGTACACCATAAACTATAAACTAGACGGGGTCGGGTAAACCCAAATAACATTAATTGTACAGCACTGATACATGTACAGTCGACTCCCGATAATTCAAACCTTCAAGGGAAATAGAAAAAAGTTCGAAATATCGGGAGTTTGAGTTATCGAGGGTAAAATTGTATAAATTGTACGGAAAATGTTCTGAAGGGAATGAAAAT